AAAGCATTATTTAGCATCCCCAGGAAATTTACCACCTTTAAGTGGTAGATAAAGTAAAAGAACCTTCAATTTCTTTTTCTATGTTTTGCTATATGTATAATGGATGTTAGTCTGAACTTTTCAGTGGTTATCACATGGTCTGACTCTGGTGTATGACAGGACAGACCATATGCTCCTCTTAGGCTGCCCACAGATTTATAGAAAAATAAGTAACTGCTTAACTAGTTCTTTAAATTGAAAGGTACGTGGACTGGAGAGAGATGGTACAGCTAGTAAGGTGCTTGCCTTACATGTGACTGACCTGGGTTTTATGCCCAGCATCACATATGGTCCCAGCAAGCACCACCAGGAGTGATCCCTGAGCACAGAGCTGGGAGTAAGCCCTGAGCTACGGAGTGTGGCCCCAAGCTCTAAATAAATAAAAATTGAAAGTTATGCATTCAGGCATTAAAACATAATATAAAATTTCATGTAGGAAAAAATGCCTGACTTAGGCTTCTCATATTTCTCAACCCATATACTATTAATATTTTTGTGTCTTCTTTGTGATTATGTATGTATGAAGGTACGTAAGGTAAAGGTAAAGGTAAAGGCCCTCCCGTTGATCGTCGATTTCCTCGAGCGGGCCCAGTAACGTCTCCATTGGAGACTTTGTTGTTACTGTGTCTGGCATATCGAATACTCTCGGTAGCTTGCCGGGCTCTCCGAGAGGGGCGGAGGAATCGAACTCGGGTCGGCCATGTTGGCCGCTTGTAAGGCAAACGCCCTACCCGCTGTGCGAAGGTACGTATGTTGGCTTTTTCCCCCTCTTTTGAAAAAATATATAAGTTTCGGGTCGGTGGTTCCTAGGCAGAGTACAGGGGCTTTTGGGGCCACTCCTGGGAATACTGCCCACCTGTGCCAGACTGCTCAGTGCTAAGGTTTGGCATTGTGGCTCTAGCCTGGTGGCACTTGGATCTACCAGGGCTACCCCAGCAGTTCTCAGGGGGCCTCTGAACTACACCTGGCAGTACTAGGGGTAGGTGGTACTAGACTTGGATTCTTGGACATACGGCTCTTATATTCCAGCCACCTGAGCTATCTCCCCAGCTCCCTCTCTCTCTGGAGTGTGGTTTGGGCCACATCCTGAAGTACTGAGACCTGTTCCTAGCTCTTGACTTTTGGCTGTAGTGACCCCAGGCAGTGTTCAGAGAAATAATTATCTGAAGTGCTGGGGATCAAATCAGGCCTGCAAGGGTGTTTTATCTCCTGGTACTATCTCTGTTTCTTTTTTGTTTTGTTTTTGGGCCATACCCCGTTGTGCTCAGGGTTCAGGCCTGGCTCTGCGCTCAGGGATCATTCTTGGCAGGCATTTGGGATCATCTGGTTGGTGCCTTGGGGATCAAATCTGTGCTGTCTGTGTATTGTACTATCTCTCGCCCACTGTCTGTTTCTTTTTAACACAAATGGAAATGTGCTATAGTGAACTTTCTTTTACTTACATATGCATAAATAACTAAGGTAAATTTCTGTGTTTGACAATATCTATCAAAAGGAAAAATGCAGGGGCTGGAGCAATAGCACAGTGGGTAGGGCATTTGCCTTGCACCTGGCCAACCTGGGTTCGATTCCCAGCATCCCATATGATCCCCCGAGCACTGCCAGGAGTAATTCCTGAGTGCACAAGCCAGGAGTAACCCCTGTGCAATGCCGGGTGTGACACACACACACACACACAAAAGTAAAAATGCAAATTGGCATTTGGATGAGCTAGAAGTATAGTTATATAATTGAGAAGGGGCGGGAAAGGGTGTGAGGTATTAAATTTGAATACTTTCCAGTGGTTTTCAGCAGCATGTTTTGGTGCAATTATGGTTTTTAGGAGGCTAAGTAGATTGCTCTATATTACATTCCTGCCTTTGCCCTCCCCCAGTTTTAGTTGTCTTCGTTACATTCCTGCCTGGGAAGTGTTCCCAGTGACCTGGGTTAGGAATTGAGATCATGGGAATCCAGGATTTTCCCATGTCTTCAAGCATGTTTGTTCACAGCACGGGAATTTTATTTATTTATTTACTTATTTAGCCTCCTCTTTGTTGATGACTAGGGGCTGTACACACACATGAGGTTGTGGTGCTCACACACTTGGCCTTTGGGACTCCTTGGGGGTCACATGCTTTAGTTGTGACCCCCAAGGTGCTTGCTGGGGACTGCACATTTTCACTGTGGCTTTTGGACACATTGCTCTCCAGGGGTCACATTCATTAAGTTTTGGTGCCTGTGTACTTTCTGGTTGAAGTGCTGGCCCTGATCTGTGATGCTCACACACTTGATCTTTTAGAGCGGGAGTACAAGCACTCCTGACTGCAGTGCTTGTACATTTTTCAGTTACAGCACTTGTTGGGGTTCAGTACTTTGCTTGTAGTACTTACATATGCTTACCTTATACCACGTGCACGCTCTCTTGTGGCTTGGGGGTCCCGTTCAGCAGAGCCTCTGGTATTGTGCTTGGCAAGTGTGGGGGTACCAGGGAGAAAACTTGAGGTTCCATGCTTATAAACAGGCACTTCTTACCATTGATCCATTGTTCTAGGCCTCCAACAAGGAAATTTAAATCATTAGTTGCTGGGAAATCTTTCATTAAAGATTTTGAGTAGAAGTGTGGTGAGGGAAAGGACAAGAATCAGTAGATGAAAAAGCAGTGTTAATACCACTTGAAATACCTCTTCCTTTTTGTTTATGAGAAGCAGATAGAGGTAGGTAGACTTGTGTGTTGTTATATACATTGAATGAGTGTCAGAGATAAGTCAAGAATTTTGGACTTTTGGGGCTGGAGTGATAACACAGCGGGTAGGGCGTTTGCCTTGCACGCGGCTGACCCGGGTTCAATTCCCCGCATCCCATATGGTCCCCTGAGCACTGCCAGGAGAAATTTCTGAGTGCAGAGCCAGGAGTAACCCCTGAGCATTGCCGGGTGTGACCCAAAAAGCTTTTTTTTTTTAAAAAAAAGAATTTTGGACTTTTTAGCTGGGTTTATTTTTGGCTATAAGTGACAGAAAAATGTGACTAATGACTTAAAAAAGAAAATTATTATCACATGAAACATTTGCAGATAGGTTGTTAATTTTTAATCATTTAAAAATCAAAAAATTAATCATTAATGTTTGATGATGTCAGATATAACATCTTATTTTCTTGATGATCCACTTATTTATATACAATTAGTGCTAAAGCTCTGCTGTTACGTCTACCTTCAACGAAAGGCAAATAGACAAGGGAGAGGGGCAGGAGCAAGGGCAATAACTATCAAGAAAGTAAGAGTTTTTCCTGTGAATTTCTTAGTGGGTTCCTATTTCATTCTTTTTTGTTTTTGTTTTCACCTACTTCATTCTTATTGTCCAGAACTGCCTGTGATTCCTCCAAACTTAGAGAGTTTCCATCCAGGAGACTTCCTCAATAATGGCTGTCCTGGAGTATACATGTGAATCATGTTCTGTAAAGCTCTTGAGCCACGTTCTAACCCCATTTTATGAACTTTGCTAGGACATATTCTTTTGCTTAGGATGGTGTTTTAAATTTTAGGGTTTTTTTTGTCAAGTTGGTTCTTTGTTTTTTTGGGCCACAATCTGGTTGTGCTCAGGGCTTTCTCCTGACTCTGCACTTAGGACTCACTCCTGGTAGGCTCGGGGGACCATATGGGATGCCAGGCATCAAACTTGGGGCCTTATACATGCAAACACCTTACCACTCTCTTATTTCTCCAGCTCCTAAATTTAAGGAAATATTTTTCTTTTGTTTTTTTGGATGATACCTGGTGGTGCTCAGAACTTACTCCTGGCTCTGCACTCAGGTATCAGTCTGGCAAGGCTCGGGGGTCATGAGATGCTGAAGATTAAACCCATGTCGATTGCACTCAAGGGGAGCACCCTACTCACTTTGCTATCGTTCTGGCCCCTCAGTTTAAGTATTTTAATTGAATTTTTGGTGGTAAGCTGTCCAACAGTAGGCCTCATAGACCTGATGACTGGTCTTGGTGATGTTTGGCCTGGCATTGTGCACCACCCAGTAGTATTAGGGGCCAGGTGGTAGTGGGGATCAAACTTGGGGGGGTCCCAAGCATGCAAGGTGTGTGCTCTACACCTTTGAGATATTTCCCCAGCTCTTAATACAAGAAAATATTTCTGAAGAATGAAAATCTTCAATTGGCAAAGTTACATTGAGCCTTTATACAAATTTCTAAACACCTGCTGGATGCAGTATCTAAATAAAGTTGTAAAACCATACTTCTCTTTAGGAACTTATAGTCTACAAAGAGTGATTTTCATATTTAAATAATAGAAAATTGGGGGTCAACAAAGCATGATGGTTTGGAGAGCAATGATTATATAGAGAGAGGAAAATTGAAATAAAATACTAGGTAATTGAATTGGACTTTGATGAGTAAGATTTTGGTTGGTAGGGTAATAAAAGTTAATGGTATGTTTTAGAAATTGGATTTTTTTTTTTTTTTTGGGTCACACCTGGCGATGCTCAGGGGTTACTTCTGGCTCTGCACTCAGGAATGACTCCTGTCGGTGCCCGGGGGACCATATGGGATGCTGGGAATTGAACCTGGGCCGGCCGCGTGCAAGGCAAACGCCCTACCCGCTGTGCTATCACTCCAGCCCCTAGAAATGGGGTTATTGAGGGCAGAACAAGCAAATTAGATGTGACTGAGACTAGAAATGAGAAAATAACAGATAAAGGGAGAATAAAAAATAATATAAAACACCCACCAGCACAATCAGTGACATAGTGAAGATACTCAATTAAACTTTGTAATTTTTTGATTCTAACTCAGAGTGTCTTCAAGTTACCAGAAAAGCAAAGTTAACTTTAGTTTGATTTGAAAAGTAAGTTTGTTATTGAGGTGAATTCTAGAAGTGCAAATGTGGTAGTAAAAGCAAAGTAATTGCTAGGGTGTTAATGTATCAGAGTATTGTAAAATAATTTTCTGGATAATTTCTTTCTTTAGAAGGCGACTTGTTTGGAAGAGTGACAACGAAAACTGGCAGAAACTTGTTCTGTGGGACAGTGGGAGACAATGTCGCAACTAAAAACCTCTTATTCCTATGATGCTCCCTCGGACTTCATTAATTTTACATCTTTGGTTGATGAAGAAGATACAGAAAACATAGATTCTTGGTTTGGTAAGTATCTGCTTTCTCTTCATTTTTAGGTTAGTGAAAAGAAATGGATGAACACAAAACTAAAATTTTTTTTTTTTGTGCACCAAGATGCTTTCTTGTTTGTTTCATTTTGGGGCCACAGCTGGAGATGTTCATGAGAGTCTCCTGGCTTTGCACTCGGAAAATATTCCTGGTGGTGCTCATGGTTCCATATGGGATGCTGGAGACCAAACCTGGGGAGTTGGCTACATGCATGGCAAGCACCCTCCCTGCTGTACTATCCCACCCCCACACCAAGATGCTTTGTTATCATGGAAATGATGAACTTTTAGTAAAAATCAATATTATTTTTCTGTTGGGACATATTTCAGGCCAGTGAGATGGCTCAGAGAGCTGGAGGACATGCTTTGCATGCAGAATCTCTGGATTCATCCTGGGTGCCACATGGTCTCCTGATTGAACACCCTGAAAATAATCCCAGAGTATGGAGCCAAGAGTAATTTCCTGAGCATTGCAAGGTGTGGCCCCAAAACAGAAAAAAAAGCGGGGACAAAGGGGGCTGGAGCGATAGCACAGTGGGTAGGGTGTTTGTCTTGCACACGGCCAACCCGGGTTTGATTCCCAGCATCCCATATGGTCCCCTGAGCACCGCCAGGAGTAATTCCTGAGTGCAGAGCCAGGAGTAACCCCTGAGCATCGCCAGATGTGACCCAAAAAGCAAAAGTAAATAAATAAAATAAACTGGGGACACGGGGGGAGGAGGGGAATAACAGATTAGTTTCGTGAAACTCTACACTCAAAACATGTCTGTGGTGGTAGCTGCCACATAAAATGTGCTCTGTTGCCATTGGGCACAGGTACAGTACAATATACAAATAGGGTCTTGGTGTTGAGACAGTCCTAGACTTTTTCAGGTGTCTTTAGGCTTTCTCTCTTCTAATTTTTGCTTAAGGATATTACATTCTATATAATTACTATCACCTGTGTAGTTTTGTTATAGCTACTACCACAGTCAAGATAGTTTTAAAATCACAAGAATCCTTGTATTGGCTTTTTGTTTGTTTTGGTTTTGGTCTACATTGACCATATTTGGGGCCTGTTCTTGGCTCGGTGCTTGGGAGTCACTTCTGGCAGTGCTTGGGATACCATGACGTGCCAGGAATTGAAACCAGGCCTCTTGCATGCAAAACAGGTGCTCTAGCCTATTGAGCTATCTCTTTGACACCCTCCCACTCCCTTCTTCAGTTCATTTTTAAGTGGAGGGATTATAGATCACTTTTCCAAATATAACCCAGTCCCCAGACAGAGCTAGGATGGACTGATGTTGGGTTGTGTGATATGACACAAACCATAATACTGGGCTAAGAATGAATAAGAATATGGTTTGGTTGTTTGTAATACTTTAGGATAATACTATAAAGTGAGATCAGTGCTAGCAAGGTAATAATTGATGGAATATCTTCATTTTAGTTTTTTGTCTTTTTTTTTTTTTTAAATAATGTAGGAGTACTGCTGTTTGTTCAGCCATTGATTAAGCTGACTGAATTGGGCATGAACTCCACATTACTTTTTTTTTTAATTGTATCATTGTGAGATGAGTTAAAAAGCTTTCATATTTGAGACTCAGCCATACAATGATGGCACACCCTTGCACATTTGGATGGAACTCCCTCCACCATTGCACATTTTCTACCACCCGCATCCCAGTCCTCACCCTGCCTCTATGGCACAATTTCCCCAGTAGTCTCTCTCATTTTGAGCAGTATGTTTTGCTCGAAATTTCCTACCACCATTCAAGTCTACCTGCCAGGGGAAGACGCTAGATAACTTATTCTCCATTGCTCAATTTTAGTATCATGAGAGCTCGCACGACCACGATTGTAAATGTAAATTTCTAGATTGTAAATGATTTGGTTCCAGAGACATCTCTGTATGTATGGCACTAATACATTTTGGGATTCACTTGGGAGTCTCTGGGCCAGGGCGGTTGGTGCACTAAGATGGAGCCCAGAGGCAGATTGTGGGCGTGACAACCAGTCTGCTGGGCGGGCAGGGACCCAGGGAGGGACAGCCCAGGTCCTCTGCTGCCATTCAGCCTGGAGATTCAGTCCTGGAACCCGCATAATTGCTTGTGGAAGCTCTTGGTCACTGGGATTCCATCTGGAGTAGACGGGGAGACTGCACCTGCTCCATCTGGGGTACCCCGGTGAAATTGGCTCGGTATAGCTACTACCACAGTCAAGATAGTAGTTTTAAAATCACCTGGAGAGATCTCCGGTGCTGTGGTGTCTTCTGCGACTTGCTGCTGTGTCTCTGGGCCAGAACTGTTGGTGCACTACGATGGTGCCTGGAGGCAAATTGTGGGAGTGACAGCCAGTCTGCTGGGTGGGCGGGAACGTGGGAAGGGACAACCCAGGACAGCCCGTGTGGCCTGGAGATTCAGTCCTGGAACCCACATACTTGGGCCTTGCTTGTGGAAGCTTTTGGTCACCGGGATTCCATCTGTAGTAAGCAGGGAGACGGCACCTGCTTCATCTGGAGTGCCCTGATGAAATTGGCCCAGTATGGGGCCTCAGTTTCCTAAAATTTTGTTTTGTTTTGTTTTGGGGTCACACCTTTTGGTACGCAGGGCTTACTGCTGGCTCTGAGCTCAGGGAGCACTCCTAAGGTCTCAGGGGACCATATACATGCTCCTATATGTATATGTAGTGAGGAGTGAACTCAGGTCAGCTGTGTGCAAGGCAAGCACTCTACCCGCTGTTACTGCTCCAGCCCCTCAAATTCTTATCTTCTTTGTTAGGAGAACTCATAATAGGGGACAAAAATGAGTTAATTATAAGCTGCATTTGTCACTTATAATGCAGTGATGGCATGTATCATTTGCCTGGAAAAGGACTTAATGATATTCAGTGGGGATAGCTTCTCAGACCCTGAAAAGGGAGTGTCTTATTGGAAGCAGTGTGGTTGGAAGAATGGATAAGATGACCATCTGTGACTCAGCAGCCCTATTGGTTTATTCTCTCTCCCTGACCAACTCTCTCTTTCTCACATGTATGGTGCTGGGGATCAAACCCTGTACCTTACGGGTGCAAGGTAAGTGCTCTACCACTGAGATACAGCCGCCACTCAGAGTCTCTTTGTTTCTGTTTTACAAGTTCCTGAGGAATGGCTGTCAATTTTTTTTTTACAAGAAAGATATTAGCTAATAACACTATCAAATATAATCTAAAGAATTAATTAAAAAAATCAGTTTAAAATTCCATTGTTTTCCAAAATTACCTAAGTTCTGTTAGTTTCTTTCTTCCAACTAATATTGCATTTAAAATTAAGCCTACTTTCTAAAAATGACCTTAATTCTAATATATTACTTTGTAATTTTCTTCTAAATAATCACTTTTAAAAAACATAGTTGCAGTCAGAGTATTACATTTATTTGTGAGGCTCACTGTATTCCTAAAGTTTCTATTAAAGTATGGGAAGAACAAAGCCTTGACTTCTTTGCACTGATATTTGGGTACAGCAAAATCTAAGATAAAATTCCTTATGAGAGATTAGCTCCATTCCAGCCTTACATATCTCAAATTTCCCAGAATTTAAGAAGTCCAACCATTATGTCTCTTGTAAGCCACACAGATCTCAGTGGTCATAGTGTTCTTTAAAATGAAAATGATGTATTAACGTGGGGCTAAAGCCAATTTATGGTTGGATAATCTTAAATGTGTTTAAGCAAAGATAAGGCGCTATTTGCATTGGAGAGCCTGCACTTCTTTTTTTCTCTAATACATTGTTCAGTATTGTCAGTATATTAGGTTTTTTTTTTTTTTTAAATTTCTGTCTCTGATATGTCATTTGTTTTTCTTTTACTTTGGATCACTTGAAGTTTGCCAAATGAGCTAGAAGGGGCTTACCACTGTCTTTTAAGTACATTTCTGATTTATTTTGCTTCCTTATTGAATGTGTGGATGAGAGTAATCTTATGTTTTCACAGATGAGAAGGCCAATTTGGAGAATAAGTTTCCGGGGAAGAATTGTCCAACAGGATTTCCTCAGAAAACTCCTTTGAGAAAGACTAATCTCCAGCAAGCTATTGTTACTCCTTTGAGAACAGGTAAGAAAGAGCATCTTTTAAAAATGCTCCCTGGGAGAATCATAGGACAGTGTATTAGGAGTTTGAGGGATCTGAGGAAATTACCTAAATGCTATATACCTTGATTTACCCCCTCATGTATTTAGGTCTGTTTTTTTTTTTTTTTTTTTGTATTTGTGGTAGTGGGATTTGGGCCATGCCTGGAAGTGGTCAGGGGATATTCCTGACTTCATGCTCAAGGGTCCCTTCTAGCAGTTTTGGGGAACCATATGCAATGCTGGATATTAAACCAGTGTCAGTTTCCTGTATTATCTCTGGCCTAACAACTTTTCTTTCGGATTTTTTTTTTGTTTTGTTTTTTTGTGGATATTTTGGGCCATACCCAGTGGACTACTACTGCTTCTGAACTTGACACTCCTGGTGGGGTTTGGGGAACCATATGTAGTGTCAGGGATATATGACTTTGGTAATATCAGAATTCTTTGCGATAAAATATCTCCTTTTTCCTATTGCAGTATACCTTTTCTTGAATGTTGTGTATCTTTTTTGTTTTGTTTTGTTTTTTGGCTGGCAGTGTTCAGGGCTTGTTCCTGGCTCTGCACTCTGGAATCATCCCTGGCAGGGCTTGGGGGACCAAATGGAGTGCCAGGGATTGAACCTGGGGTTGGTCATGTGTAGGGCAAGCGTGTCCTACCTGCTGTACTGTCTCTTCAGCCCCCAAGTGTTGCATCCTTTTTTATTTTTATTTTTTTTATTTTTGGGTCATACCCGGAGATGCATAGGGGTTACTCCTGGCTTTTCACTCAGGAATTACTCCTGGTGGTGCTCAGGGGACCATATGGGATGCTGGGAATCGAACCCGGGTCAGCCGCATGCAAGGCAAATGCCCTACCTGCTGTGCTATCTCTCCAGCCCCTGCATTCTTTTTTAACATTTTTTATTTTGTTGTTGCAATTGTGGTGGGAACTCCGATAGCAATGCTCCAGAGCCATTAGAGCCTCACATTTGGAGGCTGGTACTTCACCTCTTGGCCAGCCTCTGTGGCGCTCCTGGTGGTGGTAGGGGCTGAGGGCATGTGGTGCAGGAGATGAAACCCAGTGCTTTGCATGTGTTAGTTTTGTGCTCAAGTTGAACCACATTTCCAGCTCCAGCTCATACTGTTTTATTTGTTTGCCACACCTGGCAGTGTTCAGGGGACTATGTAGTGCCAGTGAAACCTGGATCTCTAGGCTGCAAATCATTCTGTTTAGTCCTTTGATCCATTTCTCTGGTCTTCATACTATTTTAAACTGAACTGTTGGCATTATACACACTAATGTAATTATATCAGCACTATTTGCAGTTTGATTTACAAGTTCTGTTTGATTTCAGGCTAGTTAGTTTGATGCAGTTGCATTCCTTGATTCCTTAAATTCCACGTCCAACCCCTGGCCACATAAAGATGATTTGCTTTGCTTATTCAGGCCAAGTTTATTTCATCATCAATGTAGAATGATAGAAGAAAAAGACATTATTATTTTGGGTTCTGGGCCATACAGCTGTGTTCAGGGCTTACTCCTCGCTCTGCACTTAGGGATCACTCCTCAAGGCTTGGGGGACCATGTGGGGTTCTGGGGATCAAACTCAGGTCAGCTGTGTGGAAGGCAAGTGCCCTACCCCCGTACTATCACTCCGACCCCTATTATTAATATTTAGTGAAACAGGATGGTTTTTAATTGAACAAATTTACTTAGACATGACTAAGAGAAAGAGAGGAAATATGCTCAAGCGGGAACATGGGCTCCACGGTAGAAAAAAGCAGAAAGAGACAGACGAGCAAGTGATAAACATGTTCAGGGGAGAACTCCTGCTGAGAGATCAAGCCTATTATTGTTATTGTTGCTATTATTTGGCTTTTGGGCCACACCTAGTATTGCTCAGGGGTTACTTCTGGCTCTGCACTGAGGAATCACTCTTGGCGGTGCTCAAGGGACCATATGGGATGCTGGGGAATCGAAACTAGGTCGGTCACGTGCCAGGCAAGTGTTGTATCTGCTGTACTATTGCTCTGGCCCCAGATTTTTAATGATACTGTATTGCTGATGAGGGATTAATTGCTTATCACATTAGTTGATTCTTAGGTGTTTCTATTTATCTTTAGAAACTTACAGAATTTAAAAAAATTTTTTTTTAATTAGTGAAACACCATGAGGTACAGTTATAGACTTAAAAATTTTTGTGCTTGGGTTTCAGTTATACAATGATCAAGTACCCATCCCTCTACCAGCGCCCATCCTCCACCACCACGGGTCCCAGCATCCCTCCCACCCCTCATCCCCCCCATCCCACCCTGCCTCTGTGGCAGGGCATTCCCCCTTGTTCTCTCTCTCTTCTTTTGGGTCCTGTGTTTTGCAAGGAAACTTCCAGAATTCTATCTCTGTTTATCTTCGGATATGATATGAGGATGTGTTTGGGATGCTTTATTCCTAAGGTGATATCTTGATACTTCGTTTCTGCTTCAACTAAAGAACCTTTTTACAAATTGGCCTTCTCCTTAAGATTTCTCTGCAACTAAGTTCTGTTGCTGAGGGTAATTTTTCAACCTGGGATACTGTATTAAGGGGTGTGTGTGTGTGTGTGTGTGTGTGTGTGTGTGTGTGTGTGTGTGTATGCACGCGTGCTTTTTCTAATTCATTCACTTGACATATTTATTTATTTATGGCTTTTTGGGTCACACCCAGCAATGCTAAGGGATTACTGCTGGCTTTGCACTCAGGAATCACTCCTGGCGGTGCTTGGGGGACCATATGAGATGCCAGGGATCGAACCCAGGTCAGCTGTGTGCAGGGCAAACGCCCTACGTGCTCTGGCCCCCTCGCTTGGCATTTTAATGCTGACTAGTACATGTTCTTTTGCAGTTGACAATACTTACAAAGAGACTGAAAAAGAAAATCTGGTGGAACAGTCCATTTCATTAAATTCTCGTTCTTTCCCAGAAGTCAAGGGAACTAAGACTAGAAGTACTCCAAACCAACCTCAGAGGTAAGACTTTCAGGGCTTGAATGTGGAGGTTAGATGAATAATACTTAAAGAATGGTTACTTGACAGAGCACTATTATGTATAAGATTCTGTGTAAGACTGTGTTCTCTTATTTGATAGTTATAATGTGAGTTTTAGGTAATAAGCTGAAATTTTTATGTAAGGACTAAGGGGTACTAAATTGCTCATTCAAGGTAAGTTTTATTTCAGAGCTATGATTCACCCAATCGATTCGATTTCAAAACTTTGCTTTGTCTACCATTAACATGTTTACAATTTTACATTTACTTTAACAGTTTTTCATAGATCAGTCTTAACTGTTGTATGTTTTAAAAATTGGAATTGGGGCTGGAGTGATAGCACAGCGGGTAGGGCGTTTGCCTTGCGTGCAACTGACCCGGGTTCGATTCCCAGCATCCCATATGGTCCCCTGAGCACCGCCAGGACTAATTTCTGAGTGCGTGAACCAGAAGTAATCCCTGTGCATCACCAGATGTGACGCAAGAAAAAAGAAAAAAATTGGAATTGTCTATAATGTTCTTTTATATCTCATTATTCATTCTCCAGTAGAGCTATATTTGAGTTGTTTCCATTTTTGGACCATTATGATTAAAGCTGATATGAATACATGCCTGTAGGTCTTTGTGAGGGCAAGAGTTTATCCTGATAGAATTACTAGGCCATCTTGTTAAGTGTGTCTTCATAAGAAGCAGCCAGAATATTTTCCAAAGTGACTACCACTTTCTATTCCCACTAGCGCTATATGAGAGTTCAAGTTGCTTCACATCCTAGTTAACCCCTTGGTATTCTCAGTCTCTTTAATTGTAGTTTATTTATTTTTACTTTTTGGGTCACATCCAATGATGCTCAGGGGTTATTCCTGGCTCTGCACTCAGGAATTACTCCTGGCGGTGCTTGGGGGACCATATGGGATGCCGGGGATCGAACCCAGGTCGGCCGCATGCAAGGCAAACGCCCTACCCGCTACGCTATCACTCCAGCCCCAATGATAGTTTATTATATTTTATTTACATACTTATTTAGGCTTTTGGGCTCCGCCTGGCTGTGTGGTCTGGAGTTGCTCCCAGCAGTGCTTGGGGATCCTATGGTTCTGGGGATGAGATTTACCTGCTTGTAAAGCATGTACTCAGCGCATTGAACTTTCTCTAACCCTTAGTTATGTTTATTATTGGGGTGGGGGGTTGGTTGGTCCACATCTGGAGGTGCTTGCCAACTCCTGGCTCTGTACTCTAGGATCTTTCCTGGCTATGATGTGTGACTTCATAGGTGATGTGTGACATACAACTAGGGTTGGTTGTATGCAAGGCTAATGAGTGCCTTACCCCCTGTACCATCTCTGGTCCCCCATAATTCCTTTTATTTTGAGAAAGGGGGATTGGACTTATCCATCTGTGCTCAGGGATTACTTCTGAGTCCAGGGGGTTGGTCAGGGGGTACAAGACAAGTACATTATACACTGTACTATCTTTCAGCCCTGTGTTGAAACATTTTGAAACAGAAAGAGCACCCTATCGGTTCATTGTATAATTCTTTTTTTTTTTCCTTTTTGGGTCACACCCAACGTTGCACAGGGGTTACGCCTGGCTCCTGCACTCAGGAATTACTCCTGGTGGTACTTGGGGGACCATATGGGATGCTGGGAATCGAACCCAAGTTGGCCGCGTGCAAGGCAAACACCCTACCCACTGTGCTATCGCTCCAGCTCCTCATTATATAATTGTTTACTTTTAAATACTTAAAAAATTTTCATAATGAAGATTTGAAAATTAGGTACTCTGAGTCAAAGCAAAGACACTTTTATATACAGAGGCCGGAGCGATAGTGCAGTGTGTCGGGCATTTGCTTGCACACAGTCAGTCCAGGTTTGACCCCTGACACCCCAAACACTTGCCCGAGCACCACCAGGAATGATCCCTGAGCAGAGCCAGGATTAAGCTCTGAGCACAGCCAGGTATGGCCCAGAAACAAAACAGAGAACCCAAACAAACAAAAATATTGGTAACACTACATCATGTTAATGGATTGGGATACCCAATATTATAATTAATTAAGTTCTCCTTAATTAATCTATGGATTCAGTATTTTAAGGGGTTTTTATTTTGAGGTACTAAGTTGATGCTAAAATATAAACAAATGCTAAATTTTGAGAATGGTTAAAATTTTTTGTTTTGTTTTTTTGGGGGCTACATGTCTTCGATCCATTATTAGACTTTTTGACATATGTAATTTAATTATAGTTTCATGTTTCTTAGAACATTTTCCTGTCTGTAGTAGATACATTTGTCACAGATAAATTTTGTCAATTCCTCTATCATAGAAGATCTATTAGACTCTCTGCTCAGAAGAATTTGGAGCAGAAAGAAAAGCAAGATGTTAAAATGAAAGCCAAGAGATGTGCTACTCCTGTAATCCATGAAATTCCACCCTCCAAGAAAATGAGAGTGTAAGTAGCTCCAGCTTTTGTCAGTGGGCATAGGTTTAACCCATTGATATAGTGTTTAATAGCAAACAGAATACATGATGTTTGTTTTGATTTTTATTAGTTAGGGATTTTTTTTTTTTTTTGCTTGAATAGCCTATTCAGCCAGAGGTTTAGAAAATAGTGATTTATTTGCTTCGCAGAATTCTAAAAGTCTTTTCCCTTGGTTCCAAGTTTGAATAATGCCAGAACAGTATCTCTGAGTCTTTTTCTTGTGGGAGGGGGTAAAGGGTTTAGGCCACATTCAGTGATACTCAGAGCTTAATCCTGACAATGAGCTCAGGAGTCACTTTTGGCAGTGATTAGGGATCACTCCTTGTAGGGCTCATGGGGACCGTATGTGGTGCTGGGAATTGAACATGGGTTGGCTGTGTGCAAGGCAAATGCTCTATTTGCTGGACTACTTTTCCAGCCCAGAAATGAGAAAATTTTATTTTTTACTTTTTTAGTAAAACAAAGTTGTTTGTATTAAAATTTATTTAGAAAGATGTGAGGATAGGGAAAGGGATAGAAAACAGGCTTCTCCAGAGTGGAAATGAGCAAAGAAGCAAGCAGACAAGCAAGATATGTGTTCAAGGGTTTGAAGAGCAAGCTAGAAATGAGGAAATTTTCGTGCCATGAATGGTAGGAGGTTTGTGTAGAAACCTCATTTAGGGAATAGAGAAAATACTTTTTTGTTCTTTTGAATTTAAGTTCTAATAGCAAAAAGAAGCCAGAGGAAGAGGAAGAAGGCAGTGCTCAACAAGAAAAGAATGAGTCTTCCCCAGAAAAAGCGAAGGGCAGACATAATGTGCCAGGAAGGTATGTTTTCTCTTCTAAATTTATTTTTCCCCCCTGAATTTAAATGAGAACCAGTAGAGTAAAATTGCAAATAGTACATCTGAAGTCACTATGGTGCATGTGGAATTTGCCAAAGTCCTAAAGTTGTAACTCTCAAAAGGTGAAATCTTTCTTAGTAGGTATTCCTCTTAAAGTCTTGAAAAAAATTTATTTTCAAAGCAAATGTAAAGAATAAGAGAAAAAAAGTCTGTGAAATTTAATACCTAAACATTTTAATTATGACAAGCTCCCTTCTGGTCTTAATCTGAGTAAATAGGTTTTTATTTGTTTGTTTTGTTTGGGGGCCAGATTCAGTGATGCTCAGGGTTTACTCCTGGCTTCATGCTCAAGCATCACGACTGGTGGGGCTCAGGAACCATATAGAGTGTGGGGACCATGTAGGGCGTGGAGGATCCAACCTGGGGCAGCTCCATGCAAGGCAAGTGCCCTACCCATTCTACTATTGCTCCAGTACCTTTTTGTTTTGTTTTGTTTTGTTCTAATTGTTTGTTTGTTTTCAGACGAAAACAATCTATAAAGTGCCATTAGATTATTTTGAATCATTGATCCCCTTTCTTTTCTCCTATCTCCTGTATTATTTTGCCCTTCAGGCAGAAAATTCTAAAAAGTACTGAGGAGCAAGAGTTGGAGAAGAGAATGAAGATGCAGCAGGAGGTGATGGAGATGCGGAAAAAGAATGAAGAATTCAAGAAAATTGCTCTTGCGGGAACAGGTTAGCTTGGTTCTAGTTGAATCTAATTTATGAGGAGGTGGTTCTCAGTGTTGGTGTTTTTTGTTTTTTTTTTCTTAAGTTTCTGAAGAAAAAAGTATTTTGGTCAATAGCATAAGATGTTTATTTTGAAGGACTATGGGTTTTTTTGGATATGGATTTCATTATAGTCCCGTGATCACTCTCCGGTTCGTTTTACATATCCAACTTCTTTCTTTGAGCATCTCTAGCTATAGATGTCATTCCTTTTTTTTTTGTTTTTTAAAGTGGTGCTGGGGATTGAACCCAGAGACTTACATATTCAAGGCAAGTGTTCTACTGCTTAATTAATTAACATGCTTAATTAACCCTTTTTCTATCTTTTGAAGCCCATTTCCATGAAAATTTCTCTCATTTTAAAGTAGAATTGTTCCTTTCCCCTCCAAATTATTTTTCTTTGTATTAGAAAAAGAAGGAACTGGGATTGAAATAAAAGAGCAGGGGCCAGAGAAATAGAACAGCAGGTAAGGTGCTTGCCTTGCATGTAGCCAGCCTGGGTTCGATGCCTGGCATTCCCAAGCACCACCAGGAATAATTTCTGAGTGCACAGCCAGGAGTAACCCCTGAGCATCACTGGTGTGGCCAAAAATTCACGGTCATGGTCACAGTCCTCCCATTATTCATCGATTTGCTTGAGTGGGCCCAGTAACGTCTCCATCATGAGATTTGTTGTTATTGTGTTTTGGCATATTGAATATGTCACAGGTAGCTTGCCAGGCTTTGCCTTGCGGGCGAGATACTCTCAGTAGCTTGCTGGGCTCTCCAAGAGGGGTGGAGGAATCAACTCAGGTCACCATGTTGGCCGCTTGCAAGGTAAACGCCCTACCCGCTGTGCTATCGCTTCAGCCCTGCCAAAAATTTAAAAAGTTTAAAAAAAAGAAAAAGCAATTGGCAAGTTAGGTTGTTTATTTATTTTTCTGATTTATCCCAGGCAGAGGAAAAGGGTTATAAGTTACATCTAGTTGTAGCCATGGAGAAACAGTATGACTAAGGGAACTGAAAGAGTCTACATTGTGCTTTGCTCTGCATCAAATAGTTATTGGTGGAATCATAGCCATAATGTCCAGTAGTAGTATGTTGAAAAAAATATCCATGAAGTTTATAGGGTTTTTCCTCTTAGAGATGCTTTAAAAATCAGATACTGAACTCTTATGAAAAGTATCCCAGTTATTCTCTGTCTTCAGAAAATCATCACACCTGAGAGATGAGGTGCTCTAATCCTTTGAACAGTGCATCTGACACCACAGGTGTCAGATGGTCTGACAGTGCATGTGCTCCTTTTGATAGTGCATCTGATGGAAGGGCCTGGCCTCTGACTCAGCATTTCTTAGTAAATAAGACTATTATCCCAAGGGTTGTTTAAAGTATTAGGTTTTTTTGTAGAAAGTGAATTGAAGGAGACTGTGCGCTGTTCTCTTCCGGGAGCTGGGTTTTATAGTCTCTGAGTCTTGGCCGTTGATGGGATTACATGGCGCCAGGGGGCCAGTTGGTGGGTGTGACCCCGGCCTACTGGAATTTGGAAGATCTGGGTGGAGGATGCTCAGCCCCGATCCGAGTAGGCTGGGAGATCTCAGTCCCGGGACCCGCATGCCTTTGTTCCTCTGCCGGTACCTTCATGTGTGCGGAGAGTGGTCTCAGTATGGTGGTGGCAGGTTCTTGAGGTCTTTGTCTGCCAGAGCCCTGGTCGGGGCGGGGAGGAGAACTCAACCTGCTCCCCTCCAAGGGGCCCCGGCGAGGACAGCCAGGCGAGGGGCCAGGAGACTCTGCGGGGCCCCTTGGAGGGTAGCGGGTTGAGTTCTCCTCCCTGCCCCGACCAGGGCTCTGGCAGCCGAAGACCTCCAGAACCAGCCACCACTATACTGAGACCACTCTCCGCACACATGAAGGTACCGGCAGAGGAACAAAACAAAGACATGCGGGTCCCGGGACTGAGATCTCCCAGCCTACGCGGATCGGGGCTGAGCATCCTCCACCCAGATCCTCCAAATTCCAGTAGGCCGGGGTCACACCCACCAACTGGCCCCCTGGCGCCATGTAATCCCATCAACGGCCAAGACTCAGAGACTATAAAACCCAGCTCCCGAAAGCGCGCGGCCACATTCGCAGCCAAGCGACATCTTATTATCTCAGTCCTACTTTGGACAAACTGGCATGCTACCGAATATAACCTGCCCACACATAACCTGCCCACAAGGCAGAGTCTGGCAAACTCCCCATGGCGTACCCAATGTGCCAAATACCAGTAACAATGATGGGTCTCATTCTCCTAACTTTGAAAGAGCCTTGAATATGGCACTTTTTAAAAAAATCTCAGGGCTAGGACGAAGGAGACGTTACTGGGGCCTGCTCGAGGCAATCGACGATTAACAAGATGGTCTTGATCGGTTGTGATTGTGAATTGAAGTTATATGATCCATGGTTATAAACGTATCAATAGGAGTGGAATAAAAAGGTCATACTGTTCCCTATTTTCAGTGTTACCTATGTGTTTACTTTGCTTCTCACCCAGGACATTCCTTGAAGAAGTCAGTGAGCCAAGTAACCAAAGTAGTAGACTTCCATTTTCGCACAGATGAGCGAATTAAACAGCGTCCCAAGAACCAGGAAGAATATAAGGAAATAAACTTTACATCGGAGCTACGAAAGCATCCTTCGTCTCCTGTAAGCTTATGGATTGAATGAATATTCCTGTTACTAATTCGATTAGGATTTTAGATGTAGTATTCTGATCTGATATAATTGAGAGAAGTATATTTTGACTTAAAATAGATCTGTGTCTGGACTAGAGAGATTGTACAGGGGTTAAGTGCTTGCCTTGCGTGTAACTTACCCAGGTTTGATCCCCAGGACTGCATCCCTCCTGATCACTGTAGTGTGGTCCCCACCAGACACACAGCTCCTGAGCAATCCAGAGAGTGGCTTGACAGCCAAACAATAAAGATCCTCAATTTGCATTTGCTTTGTGACCTTTGGTAAATTTCTGTATCTTTCTGGGAACCCATCTTACCAAGTTGTTGTAAAACTGAGTTTGAAATGTGCATAAAACACATAGAATTATGTGTGTTTAATTATAGGTACACACTACAGTTTATAAAAGTTAATGTTATTCTTGATGATATCTTGTGTCTGTAAAGATGGTACAAAATAAAATATACTTTATAGGGAAAATGAGGTTGGGACAGACTACTCAAATCCCATGTAGAGGCAGAACATTAACAAAAATTCTAGTACTCTACTTGTATTATCATTATTTACTGAAGTCAACTCTTCTCTCTCTCTCTCTCTCTCTCTCTCTCTCTCTCTCTCTCTCTCTCTCTCTTCTTTGTGGTTTTTGGGCCATACCTGGTGGTGCTCAGGGCTTACTCCTGACTAGTCCCTCAGGAATCACTCCTGGTGTTGCTTAGGGAACCATATACACTGCTGCAGATGGAGTTGGCTGCATGTAGGGCAAGCACTTTCTCGACTTATTTTTTCCCCCTCCCTCCTATCCCCTAGGGCAAGCACTTTAATCCCTGTACTCTCACCTCTTAAGTTTTAAATCCAAGGTGGTCTTTAAAATTTTGGTGGTTTTTTTTTTTTTGAGGGGTAGGTCCTCGAAAAGCTTTGTTTCTGGTCAGAGACTACTTTCATAAAAATTAATGATTCAGGGAGTAGGCTTCTTCATCAGTTTGGGGAAATAGGTGGAGAGATTATCATTTGGGAGCTACTTTACTGATCCAGACCCAGAAGCCCAATCAAAAAAGACTGGGGAGGGCAGGTAATTCAGTAAACTAGAGTACATGGCTTATTCACTGAGATCAAAGTTAGATCCCCAGCACCATATGACCCCTCAAATACCATGGGATATAGTTCTGGTAGCCCTCAAGTGTTGCCAGATACAGCTCTGATGGCTCCTGAAACCAGTGGGGTGGCCTTAGAGTAACACAGCATCACTGTGCGAAGCACCGAACCAGTTGTTGTGTTTGGACCAGTAGGCCATGTATTGCCAGGAAAGTGGCCCCTGAGCCCACTGAGGAGGCCCCCCTAGCTCCCTCCTCTAGAAAAAATTAAAGGACTTTTTAAAAAATGGAATTGGGGATGAGATGCTTGTTGCAACTTTCCCTACCCCTCCTTTAAATCTAATAAATCTTGTTCTTGATGATTTCAAAATAAAGATATTCTGGGGCCAGAAATAGAGTACAGCAGATAAGACACTTCCTAGCACACAGACCACTTGGTGGGTTCTAGCTCAGCTCTGCTTATGGTCCCTGATCCCTGCCTGAGCCTGAAGTGAACAGTGAGTTCTGAGACGAGTGGCGCTCCCAAACCAAAGCAAACATTAATGTGAAAAGCCATCTTAATTGATTTTGCATGACTTCTTAAGTGCTACATCTTTTTTCCTCTTTTCTTTTTACTATAAGGTAAAGGTAAAGGCCCTCCCGTTGATCGTCGATTTGCTCGAGCGGGCCCAGTAACGTCTCCATTGGAGACTTTGTTGTTACTGTGTCTGGCATATCGAATACTCTCGGTAGCTTGCCGGGCTCTCCGAATTCCTTCTTTTTACTATACTGCCAGAAATTGAACCCTGGGCCTTATACATGCAAGATGCATGCAAGATCAGCACTTAACACTGAGCCTCATCCTTGTCCCCTTTTCTTCTGCTTTTGAAAGATGGAGTTGTGAATGTGACTCAATGTCTTGTGTGAGACCTGAGTTTCGTTCCTGGCACTTCCACTCCCTCATCCCCTACAAAGAATTGGGGAGAAGTTGGATATAATCTTTCTTCAAGGAATGAAAAAGCTTTACATAGACTCTTTTGATCTTTCGTGCTGAGTATGTGGCTATGCTAGATTTGAACTCTTTCATAGTACTTCATTTGGTGAACAATTTCTTCACAGGCTCAAGTATCCAGAGGATGCACCATAATTAAGCCTTTCAACCTGTCCCATGGAAAGAAAAGAACATTTGATGAAACAGCTTCTACATATGTGCCCCTTGCACAGCAGGTTGAAGCCTTCTGTAAAGGAACCATTAACAGATACCACTTAAGGAGCAAAAAGGAAGATATTGGTAAGTTTGAGATCAATATAATAGCTGTCTGGAGACACCCCTGGAATTCTCTTTCACTATGTATCATACACAAATTTTCCTGTAATTGAAATCCTGCCTTTTGAAATTAACCATGGCATGTACTTATATGCGAACAATATAGTTTTTCTGAACCACCCAGCTCTCTGTGCATTTAGATGCATCAATCGTCTTCCCTGCTGGTCAATAATTGGCTATAGGGAATCAAAGTAACCCAAGATATCCTTATGTAATAAGAAAATCTTGGGCTTGTGTCAATGTTTAATTCTTTTAATTATCCATAAATGATATGGGGCCGGAGCAATAGTACACCGGTACATGGCTGACCTGGGTTTGATCCCCGGCTTCTCTTACAGTACCTTGAGCCTGCCAGAAGTGATCCCTGTGCACAGAGCCAGGAATAAACCCTGAGTACAGCCAAGTGTGGCCCAAAAACCAAAAGAAATAAAAAGAAGGCATTTTACATTCAAGGTTTTATGCTTTTTCTTTTTCCCCCCCCAATGACTGAACCCACTGTCTGGTCCCAGAAGTCTGATGTTTTTCTAAAAATTAGGTTTGGAAAAAACGTTTGGTTTCTATCTCCCACTCTTGTAACTTAGAAAACTTATTCTATGTAATTAATAAACTTTTGAATTTGCCTAGCCAGGAAAATTCCTGACCAACTGTAATTATCTTGATATTTATGCTTTGGTGTGTGGTGTTTTTTTTTTGTTTGTTTGTTTTCTATTAGTATACTTTTGTATTTGATTTGATTTTTTGAGAGATTTGCTTGATAATTTGATAGAATGCTTTTAGGGAATTCCTAAAGTTGAGAATTAGTGCTTGGTCTTTAGAAAGGTTTTATTCATAATCTCTGTATTTGTTTATTTATGGTTTTGTAGCCATATCCCACACCACTAAGGGATTGCTCCCAACTTGATGCTCCCAACTTGATGCTATTCACTGTCGTGTAGGGGATCCAGTCTGGCCTCCTGCATGAAAACCATGTGCTCTAGCGTTTGAGTGATCGCTCTTGCTAGCCCCAAGAAGAAATTTTGAAGCTGGAATAAGCAAGCCTTATTTTTTAAGAAAGTTGGCATTTCCAATAGAAAGAAAATAGGGGCTATGATAAAGAGTTCGTCAGATACAAATAGGTTTTGCTTTCAGTAGGTAGAGTTTATTAAAGTCTACCTTCATCGCACTCCTTATTGCCTGGTTGGGAAAAGGGGACTGAATGCTTGCTTCTCAGGCTGGCAGCTGATCTGAGCTGAGTGTGGTAGGCCAGCCATTCTGTGGTTTGGCATCTCTGCACTGATTCGTGAGGTTTTTGTGAACAAGGTGAATACCTATAGTCTTGGTTTGTAGTTCTGTTGCCTTCTAAACCTGCTGTGGCCAAGATCTCCAGAGACCCACAGACCCCCGTACTGCAAACTAAACATCGTGCAAGGCCTGTGACCTACAAAAGCGCAGCAGATCAGGAGGCTGAGGAACTTGAGAAACTACAACAGTAAGTCCCCACTGTTATTATTTGAGGAAGAACCTATATTCTTTTTAGTTTTATAAGAGGGAGTTGCTAAGGGATTAATGGCACCGAATAGCTATAGACTCAAAGCCGTGTCCTGGCCTCTGTATATGGAAATGGCCTACTGCGTAAACTGATGGAAAACTAATGCAGAAGTGGAGGAATTTATGATTCTATTGAAGGGGTGTCCTCTGAAGTTTGTTTAGGAGATTCCACCCATTTATAGATACCCAGAGGATGTAGTTTGTGTTTGGTTTATTTATTTGGTTGGTTATTTTTTAGGCCACATACAGCAGTGTTCAGTGGCTACCCCCAGCATTGTGTTTGGGAGTCACTCCAGGTATCACATCCAGGTCTCGTGGGTAAAGCATGCACCTAGCACATTGAGCTCTCCTTGTTTTGTTTTAAAAAATGTTTTTTAATAGTTTAGGTAACATGGTTACAATTGTATTAACGTTTTTTGATTTTGGTGTCCAAAGTTAATGCATCTTCACCAACACCAGAGCGCTCATGTCCTTTCTAGTCTAGTTGTGAATTGCTCTGGGCTTTCTCTTCAATGCTCTTCTATTCCTTTTTCTGTCCTTTTGAAAAGGGAACTTCCTTTGTGAGAGAATTGTTCTTTTTTAAAGTGATGGAAATGTTAGGTCTATTGTTTATTCTTTGCTCTGGAAACAGAGATAAGTTCATAGCTATGGTAAGAGCTGAAATGTTGTTTTGGGAATTTTCTGATCGGTAACCAATGATTATTATACTTTTGTTTTTGACCTACTTTGTTTTTGATTGATTTTCAGTAAAAAAAAAATGTTGTTGTTATTTGAACTCACAGATATAAATTCAAAGCACGGGAACTTGATCCCAGGATTCTTGAAAGTGGGCCCATCTTGCCTAAAAAGCCACCGGTGAAACCACCCACCCAGCCTATTGGCTTTGATTTAGAAATTGAGAAAAGAATCCAGGAACGAGAGTCAAAGAAGAAATCAGAGGATGAACATTTTGAATTTCATTCCAGACCATGCCCCTCTAAGATTTTGGAAGATGTTGTGGTAAGAACAGTTGATGTGTGCTGTAACACTGCATCATCAAATATCCACTGGTCACAAATGTTGGGGTAGACAGACACTGTAAGGCATCATATTAGGAGCTGTAGGTAATAAAGAGACATAATAGGTGAATTTTGCTGCCAGGACCCTGTAATCTAGTAAAGAAAACAGCATTATCTAGAAACTATAAAATGTTCTCTGGAAACAGAGATAAGTTCATAGCTATGGTAAGAGCTGAAATGTTGTTTTGGGAATTTTCTGATCGGTAACCAATGATTATTATACTTTTGTTTTTGACCTACTTTGTTTTTGATTGATTTTCACATCATAAGACACTAAATACCCATCTTCTGGAATTGTCGTACCATATTTGATAGAGTTCAAATATGGTAACACCTACAAGGGTGATTAGAGGTCACCCCAAAAGCCTCTATCCCTCTCGGAAAGACTGGCAAGCTACCAAGAGTATTCCGCCCGCACGGAAGAGCCTGGCAAGCTATCCGCTGTGTATTCGATATGCCAAAACCAGTAACTACAACTGGTCTCATTCACCTGACCCTGAAGGCTTCACCGACATGGCAGCACTGAGAAGGATGAGAAAGGAGAGGCCGACAAAATCTCAAGGCCGACCTAGGCTGCCACAACGAAGGAAGACAAAAATGATCGTCTGTACTTTCAATGCACGTACGCTAGCATCAGATGCATCCATTGAGGACCTGATGGTACAAGCGCGAATGATCAAGTACGACATCATTGGTCTGACCGAGACAAGAAGGCACGAATCTCACCATGCCGTTTTCGACACTGGAGAAGAATTGTTCCTCGGAACATGCGATAAAAGAGGTGTTGGAGGCGTCGGTGTCCTTGTCAACACAAACTTGGCCAAGAGCATTGATTCATTCGAATGCCTAACAACCCGAATCGGACGTTTACATTTGAATAGATGTGGCTCACTGCCTGCAGTTTCTATCTTCGTTGTCTACGAACCAACATCTCATTATGATGAAAGAGAAATCGAGAAGTTCTACATGGAGCTAGAGAAGTTCTATAAAGAAGACCACACCTTCTACAAGATCATTGTGGGTGATTTTAATGCCAAGATAGGACCGAGAAGATCAGCTGAAGAACTTCACATCGGGACCCATGGCCTAGAATGGAACGAACAGGGTGAGAGACTGTCAGAGTTCATCATGTCGACCAAGACCATCCATGGTAACTCACAGTTCCAGAAGGCAGAATCTAAACGATGGACATGGGAGTCTCCCAGTGGACGATTCCACAACGAAATAGACCACATCATATTCAATCGACGGTTTTGCCTGACTGATGTCGCTGTTGTCCCAAAATTTCGAACGGGATCGGACCACCGTCTCCTTCGTGCAAAATTCTACTTCACAGAGCAGGGAGAAAGGGCTGCAAAGTTCAAAAAGAGAACTCCCAGAATGACCACCAACTGGGAACTCTTTGGTACTATTGCGGCAACATGGGAAGATGCCATTGTTGACAACATTGACGAGGAATACGATCGACTGGTTCAGCACCTCCATGAATGTGCGAGGAACGCCAAGAGAGAGATAGCCACAAAAAGTCGCCTATCTTCGAAAACTCTTGAGCTAATTCGCCAGCGTGGTTTGGCGCATGCCTCAGGCAACCGCAAGCTAATGTCCGAGCTTGCAAAGCAGTGCAGAGATGCTATCAAGGAAGACCTCAAAGAGAGAAGAGCAGAAGTACTGGTAGATGCGGCAGAAGCCGGGAAAAGTATTCGTAAGGCCTGCCTGTCCTTCGCCAACTATAAGAGCAAGATGACTGCCCTCCGACGTCCTGATGGATCCATCACATCCTCCAGAACGGCAATGGAGAAGATTATCCATGACTTCTACTCAAATCTCTTCGATAGCCATGTCCACTTGCCAACATACCAAATTCCACAGGATGGGTATGTTGTTCCCAACGTTCTCCCCTCCGAAATCCGACACGCCATTTCGTTGGTAAAGAAACAAACAGCACCCGGCCCAGACAAGGTCAGACCTGAACACCTGAAGAACCTGCCGTCAGTACTCATCAATACACTGGCTCGGCTCTTCACTCGCTACCTGTCTGAATGCAAGGTTCCGTCCCAATGGAAAACCAGCAGGACCGTACTACTGTTCAAGAAGGGAGACATCCATGACATTGGCAACTATTGCCCGATCTGCCTATTGTCTGTCATCTACAAGTTGTTCACTCGAGTCATCCTGAATAGGATTGGCAGAACATTAGATGAAGGACAACCATGCGAGCAAGCAGGGTTCCGCAAAGGATTCAGCACCATCGACCATATCCACACGATAACCAAGCTCATTGAGGTTTCTCGGGAGTTCAAGATGCCGCTCTGCTTAACGTTCATTGATTTAAAGAAGGCCTTTGATTCTGTTGAGACGGAAGCGGTCATTGAAGCCCTAGCCAATCAGGGCATTCAAGCCCAATACATCAGGATCCTCCGTGAGCTCTATTGCGGATTCACTACCAGGATCTCACCATTCTACAAAGAAGTGATCGTTGATGTCAAGAGAGGGGTGCGGCAGGGTGATACCATTTCACCAAAACTCTTCAGTGCCACCCTCGAGAACATCATGCGACGACTGGAATGGGAAGGAATGGGAGTGAAGATAGATGGTCGGCAACTACACCACCTCCGCTTTGCTGATGACATTGTTTTAATAACACCAAACATCAGCCAAGCAGCACAAATGCTGGCCGACTTTGACCGTGAGTGTGGAAAGGTAGGACTACAGCTGAATCTTACGAAGACAATGTTTATGAGAAACAGCCTTGTTCCTGACGCCCCATTCGCTCTCAATGGAACGACCATCTCCGAATGCAACAGCTATGTCTACCTAGGTCGAGAGATCAACATGACAAATGACCTGGCACCCGAGCTGCGCAGGAGGAAGAGAGCGGCTTGGAACGCCTTCAAGAACGTCGAAGAAATAGCTAAGAGGACGAAGAACCTCCGGCTCCGGGCACATCTCTTTGATTCCACTGTTCTTCCTGCATTAACATATGCCTCAGAGACCTGGGCCCTACGCAAACAAGATGAGAACGCTATTCAGGTCTCCCAAAGAAGAATAGAAAGAGCTATGCTTGGAATATCACGTTTCACTCAAATGAGAGAACGAATCCGGAGTTCTGACATCCGTCGACGATCAAGGATCAGGGACGCTGTCTCATTTGCCAAGGTGTCGAAAATCAGATGGGCTGGTCACGTAATGAGATTTAAAGACGACCGTTGGACTAGAGCTGTTACTGATTGGATTCCACGGGATGTCAAAAGACCGCGTGGCCGCCCACCTACCAGATGGTCAGACTTCTTCGTCAAGATCATGAACGATCGGTTTGAGGCCCTTCATGTTCCCGGAGCGAACAGATGCCATTGGGCTACACTAGCACGCGACAGGGACAAATGGAGACGTTACTGGCGCCCGCTCGAGCAAATCGACGACTAACGGGAAGTTAAGTGATTAAGTGATTAAGTGATAAAATGTTCTGAGGTTCATGGTTAAAAGTACTTTAAAGGCAATCTAGATCTGTAGTACAGCGTTTGCCTTGCACGTGGCCGCCCTGGGTTCGATCCCCAGCATCCCATATGGTCCCCAGAGCACTGCCAGGAGTGATTACTGAGTGCAGAGCCAGGAGTAACCCCTGTGTATCACCAGGTGTGACCCAAAAAGCAAGAAAAACAGTACTTTAAAGGAGGTAATGAGTTTTTCCAGTTGCAGGTGCCCTTTCGCTAGAACCTTAGTTTCTGGCCCTGTGCCTGCGGATTGGTGACTCAACACCCATAGACAAAAATTAGTAGAGTGAGTACTTTCCAACCAAGTAAAATAAAACTTGAATACAGACAAATGAACAAACCAATCAGGGAATGCGAGCCGGAGCAATAGCACAGCGGGTAGGGCGTTTGCCTTGCACGCAGCCGACCTGGGTTCTATCCCTGGCATCCCATATGGTCCCCCGAGCACCGCCAGGAGTGATTCCTGAGTGTAGAGCCAGGAATAACCCCTGAGCATCGCTGGGTATACTCAAAAAGCAAGAAAAAAAAAAAACAGGGAATGCTTGATGGAAGAGGAAACATTTGATCCTCCCAAGGTGTAGTGAAATTGTCATGATAATAGCTGAGATTTAATAAGTGCCTAACCCTTTTCTGTTAATTTGCTTGTTAATATTTATTTTTCGGTGGTGCCAGGACTTGAACCCAAGGCTTTTACACATGCAAGGAAAGGACTGTACCACTGAACAACATCCCAGCACTATGGCTCATTGATTTTGACCATAATCCTTCAGGTGGTCACTTTCATTATCAGACGATTTCTAGGAGGCAAATGAGGCACAGATGGGTTAAATAACATTCCTGGGGGGCTGGAGAGAGCACAGCGGGTAGGGCGCTTGCCTTGCACGCGGCCAACTAGGGTTCAATTCCCAGCATCCCATATGGTCTTCTGAGCACCGCCAGGAGTAACTCCTGAGTGCAGAGCCAGGAGTAACCCCTGTGCATTGCCGGGTGTGACCCAAAGAAGCAAAAAAAAAAAAAAAAAAAGAATTCCTGGGGCATTAAGCTAGTAATTGATCGAGCAAGAATTCAGGCACTTTGATTGCAGAGGTCTGTGAGAGAGCTGTGAGGAGCTTAAGGGGGTGGTAGATGGTATGTGTGCTTTTCCATTATATGGTAGGGTTTGAACTTTTAGAAATACAATGAAATGTAGTAGTTTAACAGTCCAGGCGGTGGGAATAAAATAACAAAATTCTGAAAGGTGGAGAGCATGGCGAACCTTCTGTAACAGGAGTGAATGTTGAGGTAGATGGTTCAGATAGGATCTGGGTTTGATTCCTAGTGCTGCTAAAAAAAAATTAGGAGGTTGGCAGGGCAGAAGGGAAAAAGAAAGAAATGAAGAAAGGGAAAAAGATGAGTAAAGTAAGATCTTAGATTATGCCTTTTTGAGGGACTGTTGCCTACCCAGGTTAAA